GCGGGAAGTTTGAAAAAATGCCGATTTTTTCAATCGATTCTTAAGGGACTCATTTAGTCGTGACGTCATAGCCAGCATTGATTCTTTCGACTACGGTCTCGGGTTCCAAACAACTGGCTGTCCTTGTTGCACTAATGGCGTTTCCCCGTAAGAAACGACTTTCAAATTTCAAAACGAATTTTCGACCTTTTAAACGCCGCAAACCACTAAGGTCACTCCTGAAATCGACTCTAAAGCGTCAAAATAGGGGGGTCCGACCTTTTAAACGCCTCAAATCGACAAATTTCACCTGAGTTATCGCAGTTGAAAACAGGTCTAAAATCATCAGTCTGTCTCTCTCTACGGCCGTTTAGCTGTTTACAGACAATATTGAGGTTACAATCATCTTGAATTTTTACATTATTCTCGTTGAAACTCATGATATTCCCTCTTAACAAGCAAAATTTGTAAGGAAAGTTAGTTTCCAGTTTCATCAAACTATTTCCATGAGCTCATGGATCGACAAAGTCTTAATTAGTGATGAGTATCGCTTCGTAGTGAAGCGTTACCATATCACATACAGCATTTTTTCAATCAACGCTCAGTCTAGCCTTAAGGTTAATCTTCAGCTGTAGTTCCGAAAAAATCCACCACGTCGCGCTGCTAAAATCCGACTCCGAAATCAGTGATTATTTAACTATCACAATAGGTATCTTAAATTCTAAGACTCATAAGTTCTAGCAGCATACGTCTGGAATCCTTAGAAACAAACGCGAGCTTTGAAAGTCTAATAATAAAAGCTGTAAATTGATCCCAGTTTCTCTTACGGGATATCTGTAAGTGCGAGAGAGACAGCTCACGGTGGGAGAGAGATATCTGCCAACTGCTGGGAGCGATCAAGCGCGATTGGTTGCATCAAGGTCATCATGCTTAACCCTACTTTTTTCTGGGATCAAATTGCAGAGCTTCAGAAATGACTTTTCACGTTGTTTTTAGGGTCAATGGGAAGAAGAATGTTATGGCTAGAACTTATAACTCTTCGATTTAAACAGAAATTCCTTCAACTTTTATAAAAGCTCAAGGACTCACGTGGAGCTGTACGGACTCTAAAACACAGCGGTGGCGCCCCCTGCGCGGAGAAATTTCTTACTTCACGCAGCTGTACACGGAAAAAACAAGACTAGTGTTGAGCACTACTGGCCGTTTAGTGGGGAGTAGTTGAGGGCTGGCGTCTAAGCGCTGTACAGCTCAACACCGAAAGGCAGTACAGGTGGGCACTGAACATGAGTAGTGCTAATCAGATGCCGCGAGACGTAGTTGCGCTTAACAGGTGTAAATTCACCCATGAAACGTCGGAGTCACGATAGCCTGGTGGTAACGCGCTGGTCTTCCACCAGCGCAACCCGAGTTCGATCCCAGGCGGAGGCATTTCATATTTTACGCTCGCTCCAAAGTCACTTTAGGGCTTGACACTACTTCTTCCTTAGTGACCCAGCCTCGAGCTGTTTAGTGCCCAGCACTCCTCTGACTTGCTGGCTCCATTTGACCTAACCCTCGTTAGTGCCCAGCACTAACATGTAGGTCCCAACCCTAAGCTCGTTTTTTCCGTGTAGATAAACCTTAATGCGGTGATTGTTGTCGATTTTTTCCTCTCTACTGCACGACCTTAAGCTCATGAACGGAGACAGAAAAAGAAAAGTGATGACCTGAGTTTTTCTCACTCTGAATCTCATGGTTTTGTGTCTCTATCTCCGAAATCATCGGGGGTCGTCTTGCTCCCCAGCTATGCAGATTTCTTCAGATCGCTCGCTCAATCTGCCTCCTATGTGAAGTCTAATCATGCTGTAGTTAGGACCAGTAAGATCCTCTTTGCTTCAGCATACTTGAAAGTGTATTTTGCAGTTGGAAAATATAGTGTTTTTCTCGCAGCGTCCAAACTACACTTTTCTCATTTGACGGCTAACAAGAGCTCATGATGTGAGCGACTGCACAGCATAATAGATCAGATCATCCAGGACATCATCATGCTTTTCCAGAACTCTTGTTGTTTGTAAGATTAATGGGCTCCATTAATTAATGTGTAACATTGTTGTGGAAAAGCGCGTCGATACTCCGTTGGAGCATCGGAAGAGGATTCTCATTCACTTCAAGCCTGTTCGTTTACCAACTTATTCATTCCCAGAATGTACAGCAATAAACGCCATCTCCTATAGTAAGTACATAAACCAGCTAAGTTTTGAAAGTCAACTTCCCCCATAACTTGATAAATTTTTCCACTTAGGTATGACTGAAAGGTCTTGAATCAGATTCAGTCTCCTTTAGAGAAGGAACTAGATGGGGAAAAGGTTTTGGTAAAAAATACCGATGATAATGAGAGAAGAGACGTGCGTGAAATTCAAAGCTTTGAGCACCAGAAATGACAACTAGTGACCCAGTATTCCAGACCCGATGTTGTAATAATGTTGTTGCATTTAGAACTTACGCTTTGTTTGAGCCTTTAAGTTTTCTCTATGAATTTAAACCATGAAACTAATACGAGGAAACTTAAATTAAGTTTTGCATTGGAACAATCTAGCACGCATGCTGCCTAAGATCTAATCATCTTGCCACATGTTTCGAGTTGATTTAAATATACTTATCATAGGAGAAGACGTTTGCTGTATATTCTGCGAATGAATAACTTGGTAAAGGAACTGTCCCGAGGAGGACATAGGATCTCGCAGATGGAGTGCCAGGCTTGAAGTGAAAGAGAATCCTCTTCCGATGCTCCAACGGAGTATCGACGCGCTTTTCCACAACAATGTTACACATTAATTAAAGGAGCCCATTAATCTTACAAACAACAAGAGTTCTGGAAAAGCATGATGATGTCCTGGATGATCTGATCTATTATGCTACACGGAAAAAACAAGACTAGTGTTGAGCACTACTGGCCGTTTAGTGGGGAGTAGTTGAGGGCTGGCGTCTAAGCGCTGTACAGCTCAACATCGGAAGGCAGTACAGGTGAGCACTGAACATGAGTAGTGCTAATCAGATGCCGCGAGACGTAGTTGCGCTTAACAGGTGTAAATTCACCCACTTCACATCGGAGTCTCCATAGCCTGGTGGTAACGCGCTGGTCTTCCACCGGCGCAACCCGAGTTCGATCCCAGGCGGAGGCGTTTCATATTTTACGCTCGCTCCAAAGTCACTTTAGGGCTTGACACTACTTCTTCCTTAGTGACCCAGCCTCGAGCTGTTTAGTGCCCAGCACTACTCTGACTTGCTGGCTCCATTTGATCTAACCCTCGTTAGTGCCCAGCACTAACATGTAGGTCCCAACCCTAAGCTCGTTTTTTCCGTGTATGCAGTCGCTCACATCATGAGCTCTTGTTAGCCGTCAAATGAGAAAAGTGTAGTTTGGACGCTGCGAGAAAAACACTGTATTTTCCAACTGCAAAACACACTTTCAAGTATGCTGAAGCAAAGAGGATCTTACTGGTCCTAACTAAAGCATGATTAGACTTCACATAGGAGACAGATTGAGCGAGCGATCTGAAAAAATCTGCATAGCTGGGGAGCAAGACGACCCCCGATGATTTCGGAGATAGAGACACAAAACCATGACCACCATGTAACCTCAATCTTGTCTGTAAACAGCTAAACGGCCGTAGAGAGAGACAGACTGATGATTTTAGACCTGTTTTCAACTGCGGTAACTCAGGTGAAATTTGTCGATTTGAGGCGTTTAAAAGGTCGGACCCCCCTATTTTGACGCTTTAGAGTCGATTTCAGGAGTGACCTTAGTGGTTCCCGGCGTTTAAAAGGTCAAAAATTTGTTTTGAAATTTGAAAGTCGTTTCTTACGGGGAAACGCCATTAAGGCAAAAGGACAGCCAATTGAGGAGCTTTCCGGAAAAAGGGCACATAGCAAAAAATAGCGTTTGAGAGAAATGCATTGTAAGTTTCCATCATTAATTTCTGGCCACTGATGGTACCTTTCATCGCATTTTGGATTCCCGATTTTGAACGAAAGTCACTTTCAGTGACCATGAAGTAATGAACAGAACTTCAAATGCATTTCTGTCAAACACAATTTTTTGTCATGTGCCCTTTTTCCGGAAAGCTCCTCAATTTTTTGGAATCCGAGACCGTAGTCGAAAGAATCAATGCTGGCTATGACGTAAGCCTAAATGAGTCCAGGGCTGGACACACGTTCGAAGTGAAGCTTCAAAGGCTATCTAGTGAAGTGTTGCGCATCGATGCGGTGATCGATGGCAACACTTGGCGAAACAGCCACCACTTTGAAGCTTCACTTTGAAGGTGTGTCCAGCCCTTTATTCGTCCAATCACTTCCGGCCAGAGAAATATTGGATATATGAGAGTCCGGTATGAAAATCTATGACATTTTTTTGTCGTTCTTTGGTCGACGCGGGCCTAAGAGAGCGCGAATCACCCTCTGGGGGTTGAGCCGCGTAGTGGCCAGGGGGCATAGCCCCCTAGTACTAACTACTTTTAAAGGACCATCGTGGATTTTCACGTCATATTACCTCAATACCAGATCACGCGGCTGTATCTTCAGCGTGCAACAGACCCGTAAGCTATACAATTTTCCCCTTTTTGAAAAGAGGACGCAGAAAAAAACATCTACGATGTCATCTAATCGGTTCGGCTCGATGTTTTTCGGGTCAGAGACCAGGCGCATCTGTTACCTGAACTGAGCTCTTCAGAGCAGCAGGCTACTGAAGTCCGTATCGAACCTCATGTCTCAAGATCCGAGTAACTCCAGCTCTTGATCAAAACTTCAGATACCTGACATTTTTTGTGTTGTTAAGGTACTCGAAAACTTCGGCATTTTTCTTGCCGAAAAATTAGGTACAGGTGCTATAGCTTAAATTGATCGGAACCTTCAAAGTGTCTAGCAGAAACATAAAGGGAGGATTTTGGCAACTCCGTCAAGATGACGACACTGACTTTTGTTTGCAAATCAGAGCCCCTTTCGAGGGATTTCTCGACCCCATTAATGGATGAACGTTTACATACCTGAAGTAGACACCAAGCTATTCGAATTTCATTATAATGACTGAAACAAACAAGAAGATAATTTGTATTAATATAAGAGTAACATGGAGGTATACTAACGTCGCCACTACATGGCCCAACCATAGTGCGTGTAGCGCCTTCTAATCCAGCAACTGTCAAGAATAACGTTCCGAAAACGTTGACAAAATATTGCTGCAACGAACGTTAATTTGGGTGTTAACGTTGTGTCGACGTTTTCGCAACCACTTTTTGCGGAGCGGGAGGCCCGCTTCGCGGACCCGTGAGCTCATGGTCAAGGGGAATGGGGATGTTGAACCCGCGGGAGGGATTTGGAGACTATCGAGCTTAACCGATGTATTTTTTCCCGAGAAAACGGTTGGAGTGATTTTAACACTCTAAGGTCGATATTAAAGCTGCAAAATCTATATAAAGTTCAAAGTTCAAACGGAGGGCTCTCGTTGGTAGCATTGGTCGGCCTACATCACAACTTGCTTATGCTATTTTCAGCCATTTTGATCCACCTGTGTTCCCCCATTAAGAATCTATAGTCATTCATCTTGCAATGTAGCAATGTATCTTTAGGTAATGTTCTGATGATAGGACTGAGTCCTGAAATGCATTAGCCCCTAATAAATAAAATTGTAAAAAAATTATGCATCTTTGGCACACGTTTTTATTACTCATAATTATAATTAGGTAGATGCAACATGCGGCTCAACGACTTTGCAAAAATTGTGGCTGAATTGTTCATTGACCTTTGTTTGCGATTTGACTCACTTGGACTTTTAATTTCTCACGAGCGGAAGGTTTGAATTATTAATGCATCAGAAAATATTAAATATCCGAAAAATTTTGGGTAAGCGTTGAGTATGTAGCTTTATGAACTTTTAAAGTATTTTGAATGATAGTATGACAAATAACTTCGAAGACATGACGATAGTATACCTACATTTTGAATTTTATGCGTCTCTCATCAATAGAGAGGGTTACTGCTGGCAGCTGGCAAAGACCGCCCTCCCATTGTAATGCAGGCTCATATGTATGATTGTATGTCCTCCCACCCCTAAAGTGTTCCGTAATTTAGGTACAAAACTTGTCAAGTTTTCTTCGATAAAACGATAATTTCAAAAAAAACTTGTGAACATTTTCAGTCCAGTTTTTCAGAGAGCATTCTTTTCAGTGTGATCTAAAGTATTTGAGAAGTTCAAGTAAACACATTCATAATTTTTTCTTAAAATTAATATTTTCAAAGGAACAAATTTGGCAACATGCAAATGTTCGTGCATACATCATTTTTCTTTCGCACAACAGAATACTTGAGATGGATCTTCAGTTTCTGAACGAGGCATCCTGGGTACGATCGATAAAATTCATTTTCCAAACTTGAGGGAGATTAATTTGAGAAAATCGAAATTTCAATCTGTAGATTTTTTTTTTTTTTTTTTTTTTTNTATTATTTTGGTTACAAGTTGGAACCATAGTTTAACAGAACTATGGCCGAAGGCCTATGTTTACATGTTAGATTAGAATAAGAAGTTCCTATATTTACAAATTGGTGGTTCCCCCTTTCAATCTGTAGATTGATCATTAAGGACAGTTCGAGCCGAGACATCTTCCAAAGTCTTAAAACAGGGTCAAAGTACCGATACCGATACCGGTACCGGTACCGATTTCACTTAATCGCCCATATCGATACATTGAATTTGGTTACAAAATGGATATACCGAGTAGATTATTTTCGGCACGAACTTTCAATTTTCCCAAAATAATCCATCAAAATGACTACCATATGAAAAATATGGATCGTACCCTCAATCCTCTTTTTATCCAGCAGGAGAATCGACTTCCAACACCATCTTAGATATAGGTCGTTGATACAGGTAGGAATCGACGACGGACGCGACAACCAGTGCGCGGCTTGAGTCAGCCATCATATTAATGAATGAGACAACGACTCGACGACTGGCTAAGAGAAACAGGTTCTCCATATTGGAAAGTGACATGGCCAATCACGTGTAGCGAGCCACGCCCCCCGAGGAACTCGAGCTTGCTGTATGCACAAATTAGTGAAAACGCGAACTCCGCGCCGTGCTTTGAAGGCGGGATTAGTGCTAAGTATGAGGGAGTGGGAAGGCATGTGTCAACCACACCGGGCACAGTGATGTGTCGGTGCTAATATCTCGTCTCCGATTGACGTTGGCACAGTAGTGTGCCAAATATTTGCCGAGGCTATTCCGCACTCGCGTGGTTCGAATGAGCATTCGCCCTACGTCAACCCGAATGCGGAAGTACTGCCGATAGTCGGAAAGAAATAGGTTTGAACCGGACAATATTGCTGTATGAGGTTTTAATAGATCAGTGAATGCATATAAATGAGTAGAATTCGAATATGAGAAGATTGACGAAAGCCCGTGAAAATGCCAAAAATCCGCCAACACCGAAAAAATTCCCAAAATTTATCCGTGTTTCCTCCAAGAAACCTTGAGAGGGAAGGTAAGAAGCGGGCCGCGTAAAGCCTGAGAAGGAGTTTGAAGCGGTTGCAGCTCCTAGACCTTAGCGTATTCTGATATAATTGATCAAGTGTGGGTGGCACCGATCAGTTATTTGAACCATATACTTAAGTATATAAATTGTTCTTCTATGAGTAAAAAGCGTGTCCCAAAAGTTCTTATCGTCCCCTGTAAAATTTTACGTAAATAATATTTTGAAACGGAACTTTAAGGATGTTCATAGATCGCAATTTTACCTACTTTTGGGGCCCCCAACGAGGAGGAGCTACGGACTCCAACCTTTTTTTCAAATGGCAAACCCCCTTTTTTTGCGACTTATAAATCGAAAGAGGACAAAAAAGAAAAATTTTAGCGCAAACCGCAAGCAAAACTCTTGATTTTCCACAAAATGGCGGCCGGTCAAAGTTCAGAATAGGGCAAACATGAGTATACCCGTTATTTACTGGTAAGTTCGCGTCAGACCTGGTGACTGGGGATTTTTTGGCACGTTAACCCCGAATCTGGCATTAGTGTTTTGAAAAAACCAGTTTTTTCTAAATGATGACCGTCAAAATGACGGTTAGAGGAAACTAAAAGTATTTCAGCTGTTTACCCATGGATTTGCATAAAAGTTGGCGCCCGGTAGGTATTGGCACGAGAAAATCGAATCCGGCATTTCGTTCTAAAATATTGATTAGGTAAACTTTCAAAGGCGGCGGAAGGGACTTTTGGGGATCCGAAATTTCGTTCCAAAATATTAATTAGGTAAATATTTAAAAGGGGAGAAAGGACTTTTGGTACACCGTGTACCTATATAAAACTTATAAAAAACTTGTGTGCGATCGTTTACACGCGGTCCCGAAATTCCAAAGAATGGAATGAATCTTGAATTACCGCTGGCAGGAAGGAAGATTGGAATATAACCACAAAAGAGGCATCCCGGTCACAGGAACCGTGAGCAAGGCACACGGCAAAATTCTCAGGGGAGGCTGTGGATTTGAGGATACGTTTAGTGTGATCGGACAACCGAAGATAAGGCTGGATTGAAAGCCAGTATAAGTCCAGAGCCAACCATTTTTTCACAATTACCCAGATCATTGAGAAAAAAGAGGCGGCTAGCCAGTAGCTGCATTTGATGATTGACGATCTTCTGGAGGTTTATACAGGGTGTACCAAAAGTCCGTCCCACCCCTGCTAACTTTTGAACGAATTGAGCTAGGGTAATGAAACTTTGGGAATGTTCCTATCTCAAAGGGGACCATCTTTTGGGGGGGGGGGTCAAAATTTTTGTCCCCCCTCAGGGGGGGGCGCGGAGGGTCCCAACTTTTTTTTTCAAATGGCAACCCCTATCTTGTGATACCTCATTTGAAAGAGCATAAAAAACTAAGAGTTTTGGCGCAAACCGCAGATCAATATCTTAATTTTTGACCGAGTTATGATAGGTCAAAGGTCAAATTTGACCTATTTTCAAAAAATCATAACTCCGGTTCAAATTATCGTAAAGAAAAAAATAAAACGAGAAAATTTACCAAACTGTGTCCGCTTTTAAGTAAAAATTGCAGAAATCACTTCGATCTAATTTTAAGGGGGGGGCTCGGACCCCTAAATACGTCAATTCAAAGGTCATTCAATTTTCCCGCGAAATAAGCCAATTTACCCTTGATTTGCCTCCACATTATCTCAGTAAGGCCAAAATCAGTTCAACATTACGTTGGCAAGTCCCCAAATTTCGGGAAAAGTTAAAAAAAACGAAATTTAAACGGTCAAATTTAATCACCTTAAATTTCGTTTTTTTTTTAACCTTTCCCGACATTTGGGGACTTGCCAACGTAATGTTGAACTGATTTTGACCTCACTAAGATAATGTGGAGGCAAATCTAGGGTAAATTGGCTTATTTCGCGGGAAAATTGAATGACCTTTGAATTGACGTATTTGGGGGTCCGAGCCCCCCCTTAAAATTAAATCGAAGTGATTTCTGCAATTTTTATTTAAAAGCGGACACAATTTGGTAAATTTTCTCGTTTTTTTTTCTTTACGATAATTTGAACCGGAGTTATGATTTTTTGAAAATAGGTCAAATTTGACCTTTGACCTATCATAACTCGGTAAAAAATTAAGATATTGATCTGCGGTTTGCGCCAAAACTCTTAGTTTTTTATGCTCTTTCAAATGAGGTATCACAAGATAGGGGTTGCCATTTGAAAAAAAAAGTTGGGACCCTCCGCGCCCCCCCCTGAGGGGGGACAAAAATTTTGACCCCCCCCCCCAAAAGATGGTCCCCTTTGAGATAGGAACATTCCCAAAGTTTCATTACCCTAGCTCAATTCGTTCAAAAGTTAGCAGGGGTGGGACGGACTTTTGGTACACCCTGCTGATGTAAACAGGTAAATAAGTTTCACACGTGTTTCACTTCAAAGGACGTTCTCATTTCTTTAAAAATGAAATTCACTCCATAGATACCTCACGATGGCTTATTACGCTTACAAAAGCTTTTCCTGCAACCCACTCATTCAAAATGGTCACTTTTGGGCGGGAACAGGTCCCGTACAC